ATTGTGTTCAGTCTCAACTCTTTTAAGCTTGGGAATGGTCCTCTGACTATATATATATACTTGCAAAAAGACTTTGTGACTTGGAAAAATGTGATGTAGCCTGTTTATATAATTCCTCAGCTCCTTTTAACACCTTTGGCAAACTGCTGCTTCTGTGGGTGCTGATGACATGAAGTGCTGTACCAGTACTTTACATCCTGAGATCAGACCTATCTGGGATACAACTAGAGCCAGCAAAGGGTATGCAGCCTGCATGACTTTCATTCTGAAGAAACAGCAAAATATTGGGGTGAAGGGAAAAATCTTCTGTTTCAGCCTGTTCACATTTATCAGACCTTCTCTTGTTTTTCCATAATTGAAATGGTATTTCTCAACATGCCTAGACAAACCAGAGTTTCAGAAATATTAGATTGAATGTCTTCCATTTCTAGGTACATTTGAGCCCCAATAACTGAATTTTATTTATTTAAAATGTGACACGACCATAGTGTGTTGTCCTATTCTTAGAAGATCTAGGGCAGAGGTGGGGAATATATTGACCATGGGCCTCATGCAGTGCGTCTCCCCAGTGCTGCTGAATTTGTAATTGCAAGGCAGCAGTCCATGGTCATTTGTAGTGGGGGCCTGCAGTTGGCTTCTGGATGAGCCATAATCTCCAGATTCTAAGGTTTCATTAAAAAGATAATTCCTAGGCCTCATGGAACCCATGATATGAGGCAGAATGTATGCTCATTAATCTGCCCATTCATTTTTTTGAGAAATCGCTACTCCTTTTTAGTGTTTTCAGCCAGTGAATAAAGTCATAGACGCCTATTAGAGATCTTCCCCATTTATGAAGTAATTGCAGCTTCCTAAGAAAAAAGAAAAGAAAAGAAAGCAAGGCAGGAGTTAAATGTATCTGAGTTTGGGCAGAAGTGTGTACAAACAAACAAAGAAATGAGCTAACAGAAAACAAAGACAGCAGCAAAGACAGGAGTTCATGATCTTTCCAAAGCAGGTCTTTGGTTTTTTTAGGGGGTTCTGATGTTATAAACATTAATATTACCCTGACAACCCACACTAAAGCTAATTATTATGATACATATATATTGTAGGAAGTGGGGCTGTGACTGAAAAAGTGTGGGTTACACCAAGTATCCCAGTGTAGTTTTCCTTGTTTTGTAGGATAGAGTTGATGGTTTAAAAATGTAAGACAGCTCTGCCATGTTGTTATCCAGCATCCTCGGGCTTTAATGTTCTAAGGAAGCACAGACAGGGCTATGATGTTGATTGCAGAAGCAGAGTTACTTGTTAAGAGTTGAGAAGAAAGAGAATTTCCTCACAGCTCTCTCACTATGAGTGAAGACCTTGGAGTTGGAATATGCAGTTTCAAAAGAACATTGCCGCAGTTCCAAATTCTGCCAAGGCAAAAGTTGCATTCGCAGGCAAAAATTGGCGGCGGCGGCGGCGGCGGCGGCGGCTTCTTCTTCTTCTTCTTCTTATTATTATTATTATTATTATTATTATTATTATTATTATTATTACATTTCTATGCCGCCCCTTGCCGAAGCCTCAGCACACAATAATGTACAACACAATAATGAACTAATGAACAGTAGTGAAAAGTAAAGTGAGTAGATCAGGTTTCTGTCGAACCCTAAACCCTGATCAAGTATACCCATTTCCTCTGTCACTGCTAAAGACGGTCTCTGTTGTCTTATTACTCTCTAGAACTGTCTTTACCAACAGGATGTTTTCCCGATGTTTAGACTTCAACTTCTGTCACCCCCAGCCAGCATGATCATGGCCTAGGAATGGTAGGAGTTGTAGTCCCAAGCATCTGGAACCTGGGGAAGACTGTTCTAGGGAAGTCTTACCAAAGTTTCCAAACTGTCAGAATTCATTCCATGTAAGTTGTGATAGACTACGGCAAAGCATTTGCTTGCATCTCAAGAAGCTATGAATGGTCCTGAGAGAGATCACCCTGAAAGAATATTTGATAATCTTGATAAGTAACCTGTACATGAACAAGAAGCGGCTACGGGGATAGAGTGTGGAGAAAGAGAATAATATCCTATAGGCAAAGACATCAAAAGGGTGTACTTTACGTATCTCCTTAGCTGTTCAATTTGTATGCAGAACATATCATAAGAAAAACTGGATTAGGTTCAGAACCAGAAAGAGTGAAATTGATAGAACATACATCAGTAATTGAAGATATGCAGTTGATACCATATTACTGGCCAAAAACAGCAATGGATTGAAAAGACTTTTGATGACAGTGAAAGAAGAGAATGCAGAAGCAGGACTGCAGCTGAACATTAAGAAAACAAAAATCAGGAGTACAGAAGAATTATACCACTTTAATGTCAGCAATAATGAAATTGAAATTATGAAACATTTTATATACCTTGACTGAGTCATCAATTCAGAGGGAGACTACAGATAAGAAATTAGATGAAGATTAAGACATGGAAGAGCAGCAGTGAAGGAACTAGAAAAGTGGAAGGACGTTTCCTTGCAGATCAAGGCCAAGATCATCTATACTGATCACTGTGTATGGGTGTGGAAGCAGGGCAGGAAGAAAATTAATGCATCCAACAATGCTGGTGGAGGGGAGCTAACCCTAATGGTGGACCCCCAGAAAAATAACCAAAGTGGGCCTTAGTTCAAATCAAGCCAGAACTTTCTTTGGAAATGAAAATGATAATATTGAAGCTGTGAGACACATCATGAGGCGCAGGAATCACTGGAGAAGGCAAACATGCTAGGGCAAGTTGAAGACAGAAAAAGAAGAGGAAGACCAACTTTCAGATGGATCAATTCACTAAAGGAAGCCCCGGCCTTGAAATTACAAGGGATGAGCAGGGCTGTGATAGACAGGACAGTTTGGAGGCATTCATTTATAATGTCTCCCTAAGTCAGGTATAAGGGATGCAGGTGGCGCAGTGGTTTAAACTGCTGTGCTGCTGGGCTGGTTGATCGAAAGGTCGCCGGTTCGAATCTGCACAAGGGGGTGAGTTCCCGTTGCTCTGTCCCAGCTCCTGCCAACCTTGCAGTTCAAAAGCATGCAAATGCAAGTAGATAAAGGTACCACTTCGGTGAGCAGGTAACAGCGTTCCGTGCACTTCGGTGTTTAGTCATGCCGACCCCATGACCACGGAGACTGTCTGCGGAGGAACACTGGCTCCCTCGGCTAGGAAACGGAGATGGGCACCGCCCCCTAGAGTCAGGCATGACTGGACTTCACATCAAGGGGAAACCTTTACCTTTTAAGTCAGGTATGACTTGATGGCATGTAACAACAAAGTTATATAGAATTGTCAATGATGAAGGCAGTAGTGCCAAAAACAACTCAATGTGGTATTTTAGAGATAACTGTGCTATGTTTTGTTTTGTTTTGTTTCTGTCATTCTTAGGGTTTTAAAAACCCTTCACTCCAAATAAAATTGTGTTGGAGTTTGAGATATCTCTCAAACATAACATTCGTTTGCATTAGTCCTATTTAGTTCCCAGGAATGTCAGCTATTCTGTGTTGGCTTCTAAATGTTATGGAATGCAGTGCCAAGCAGCAAGGCAAAGGAAAAAAAAAGTGCACAGGTGTACGGTTTGAGTTATGTGTATGAAGTGCAGCCACAAACTGCTTTGCATGGCAGCTTTTTGTCCCCCACTCCCTTAATTTGGCTTAGTCCCAAACGTGCCAGCCCATGGTCTAGGATAAAGGATAAGACCAGGCCATAAGCACACAGTGTGGTATTGTATATTCACTTTCTCTTGGCCTTGTCATTGTCACATTTATATCTCTTGATCTATCTTTCCCCTTCAATGCTTGATATGCTCGCAAACAGTAGTATTAGATTTCTTCTAGTTCATTCTTTCCTTTTGAAAGAACTGAGACTGTGAATCTGATGTTGGGCACAGCATCTCATGCCACAGTTTATTTTGCAAGTGTTCATGTACATCAAAGTGTTTTGATATCGCAGGAAAGGCAACTTGGGTTTGTGTAGCTTATTCCAGTAATTCATCTCATCCATACCTACCATTCTTGTACTAAAGGTGCAGTAAGTGCTATTTTGAGTGTGCATGTTAGCATTAAGTTGATCCCTTCACAGTCTTGTAAGAGTTCACACCTGAAATGCACTTTAAATCTGTGTGCTCATTAGCTGAATTGAGACCTCCATTTGTTTCTATTTATATTCACATTAGTACAGTTTGTTGATACTTTATTTATCCCATCCAAATAATCCTGTCAACATAATGGGGAAATAAATGAAGCTAGGAATGTCTCATTATTGGAATCACTTCCAAGATTCCGCATTCTAAAATCTAGCATTGCTTACTGTTAGTATTCGCCAGCAGTTGCCACATAGTAGTAACTGTTAAATATTTTAGATACCACTGCAGAGACATCTGTAACCACAGATGGCATGGCTGTAGGTTTGCTATTTCTTTATTTTGTAACTCAATGTATTACAAGGACTCAGAGCAGGCTACAGTGAATAAATTGCAAATACTGGATATAGCTTTAACTTCCTTGGTCTTAAATGTACATACTTGGTGGTAGTTTCTTGATTTTAGTGAAACGCAATTCCAGAAAGGGTGTTTATGTAGGATTTTTAGTTAGGATAGGACACAAAAAAGAATGGCAAATATGTTAATAATAATTGGATATATAGGTAGTCCCTATGCTCCAAAAATACTTGTTCCAGCTCTTTAAGGTACCTAAAATGATTCAGCTGTACACACTCCAGCTTTGGTCTCAATGCTTCCTCCCTGGAAGAGCAGAGATAAGAGGATTCTACTGCCTCCCAAGCCACTAATGTTTAAAGTCAATCTGTTGATGTATTTATGTATTTATGTGAAGTCATGATATGTCCTGTTGATATATCCTGTTAATTTGTGCCCATCTGGGCATACTCAAGATGCTGCTAATGTGGGAGTTAATGTGTGCAGTCAATTTTCATATGTAATTATTCCATTTGGTTTACAGTGCTGTTTTGTTCTCTGTTTTGTGCATCCAGAAATTCGTACTCAATTGGTAGAACAATTCAAATGTCTAGAACAACAGTCTGAGTCCCGGTTGCAACTTCTGCAAGATCTCCAGGAGTTCTTCCGCAGAAAGGCTGAGATTGAACTGGAGTATTCCAGAAATCTGGAAAAACTAGCAGAAAGATTTTCTTCCAAGATTCGCAGTTCCAGGGAACACCATCAGTTCAAGTAAGATTTTTTTTCTTAATTCTGAAAAGGGGGCATTCCAGCCTGAATACCTTGGCTTTGATCTCAAAATCATGAGTCCTTTCAATCATCTGGATTGGGGGACAGAGTGAAGCAGGGATGTCAAGTCTCTTTTTGCCTAAAGGCATTACTCAGTTCAGAGAAATGCTTGGTAGCCATATTTTAATGGCAGGTAGGACAAAAGGGGAAGGGCCAAAGATACAAATATTCCTGTGTATTTTATAGGCAGTAATGAAGATTTGGGAGATTCACTCTTTTCAAATATGAAAAAATCGAGTAAGAGCTGGGAAACTGCAAAATGATCAATGGTTAGGTCAGGGAGGGGAGTCAGAGGAAAGGGTCAAATGGTCATGGTCAAAAAAGCATGGTCAAGGACCTTCAGAAGGCTGGATAGGAATGCCACGGGCTGGATTTGGCCTGTAGGTCTCAAGTTTGATATCCCTGGGGTAAGGAAGACTAATGATGAATGTTCAAACAGACAGCAAAGAGAAGTAAAAATAATTTAGTTGAGCCATTCATTCATTAAACATCGTAGTTGCTCTGTTAACCCCTTTTCTAGCATAGCTCTTAAAGACCAGCTTATACTGTTGGTAGTACTATTCTCAACTGCAGAGCTTGAGAAAATTAGGCATTTTTGACAGGTACAGCTTGCATAAATTGGTGAGGCATATTTAAATAAGGTTGTATTCAATTAATTCCATCAGTAGAGGTTTAGCTATTGGGCCTAAATATTTTATAAAGCGAGCATGGTATTTAATGCAAGTAATGTATATTCTGCATTGTCAGTCTAGAAGTCTGTGGCCAGTAGATGATTGCCAAAACTGTTTGGGTTTTACAAGACCCAGAAATTATCCTGCAAGACTGTAAACTCTTTCTTTCTCTTTCATTAGTATTTCAGGCTTCTTTATTAGGTATTCACTTTGGCTTCCAGTTTTAATTTTTGAAGATTTGAACTCTAAATGAACTCAAAATGTAGGACAAGAAGATGTTGACAGTGTATATTCTATCTGTAGTTCTTCAGCTGAAGGATCATTTGTTTATTTCAGAGAGTTTGCCATCTGCCTTTGTTCTTGTTTGTCAGTTCTTTGTTGAAGCACAGCCCTTGTGTCATTCTTTTCTCAGAGGTATAAAAACTGGTGTGAACCTACCTAAATACTACACTAAGCTTCACAGGTACTCAAGTGCTTTCCTCTCAGGGCAGCTCAGGGGACAGTAACAACAGGGAGGGACTTCTTGGTGGTGGCTACCCATTTATGGAACAAACTCTTCAGTGAGTCTGACCTATGACCAACATTGTTACTTTTTCCGCTTCAGGTTAAGATTTTTCTGTACAACCAGGCCTATGCCAGCATATGATCTTTTTAATTTACAGTTTATTATTTTAAAATTGCTGTTTTTAGTATCTTGGATTTTTGTTACATAGTTTTAAAGTTTAAATATATGTAAGCTGCTATTGATCTTTGACTGTTAGGTAGTATATAAATTAATAGTATGAATTGTGATAGCTCCAACTCAGTCCCTCTTTTGGTCTTATTTGGATTGCAGCAGGGATAGGGAACCATCTTTTGATGCAGTGGCCAGATTGCTGCTTCTGACATTGAGGACAGAATCCCCGTGTGATATCAGTGGTGGGGCTTTGCCCTGTTATATCATCAGGACCCTGGTCAAGGCAGTCGTTGGACTCCGCCAGTGGGAGTGTGCGTTGCTCCATGCTTCTCCAGCTGGCACTCTGGTTGTTCCCAGGTTAAACTCTCTCTGGCTAAATGACAGGCTCGTTAGAGTGGTTTCATTTCTCCTCTGCATTCCACATGTGGGAGAACATAGGGGAGAAATTAAGTTGAGTTGGCAAGCAGCTCAGAGCACCACCGTGTACAGCCTCTGCCTCCTTCCCTGTGGGGTGAAGATGATGGAGTGGCAAAGTAACCTGAACCCCTCTGGCCCTTTTCCCTGCTGAAGGCATGGGATTTTAGGGAGTGGGTGGGACCCCGCTGGAATCTGCAGGGGAGGACAGTTTTGGTCCACAGGCCAGAGGTTACTTGTCACTGGACTAGAGTATAGTACTAACGGCAGCTTCCTTCTCCTGGCTGATTCTTAGCCTTTGCTTCATCAGCCTTCCCAGGCAAAAGAAGTCACTTCAAAGGCAGTGAGCTTGAGGTGGAGTTCCTCAGTGCCACTCAGTAATAAAAACAGCGCTAATGACTAATGACCAATTAATTCAACAAAAGCACTGCTGCAGCAGTGATAACATAACATAGCACCATGCATGCTGATGCTGCATCATAAAGAATTAAACAAAGAAAAAGAAAAATCAACCCCAGTCAGAGTTGGCAGGAAAGAATCGGCAGTCATCAGTTTTCCCTAAAAAGCCATGGGAAACAAACAAATAGGTGTGGTGAAAAGGGAAATGGTGCAAGGTGGAATTCTATGGTGAGAATGTTTCATGGTATTGCCACCCCTGCCTCTGTGCTCACCTGTTCAGCCTCCCAGTGTGGGGACTGGCAGCAGGACCTCAGATGTTGGTTGGGCTACAATAGTACCTCTGTCTGTCTGTCTGTCTGTCTGTCTGTCTGTCTACCTGCCTACCTACCTACCTACCTACCTACCTACCCATTTAGATTGATATAAAACATAGAAACAAAGCAAGTCAGAAGGGGTCTCTTAGGCTATCTTGTCTGACCCCTGGCTCCAGCCAGCTCCGCTCATGTAATTCCCAACATGTGTTTGTCCATCCTTTCCTTGAACACCCTCACTGATGGGGCCTCAACTTAGAAGCCTATTTCATATACCACTGTCTATATTTAAAAACATCTTTAGGTTGTTGACACCCAAATTACAAGCTTTAAAATATATAATGATAACTTTTCAAATATAATTAAAATATCATATCATAATTGCTGAAGCCGTTATATAAAATTGATTAAAAATAAAATCACTACAATATATAATTATTAACAAAGTGGGCAGCAGACTTGCTCAGAAAAAAGTTTCAGGAAATAAATGAGTCTCTATGTGGTGCTTAAAACATGTTATAATTGGCACCTTCTGGATACTAGTGAGAAAGCCATTCCACATCATGGACACCACCATGGAGAAGGATCAGTTCCTGGTTGTTGCAAGATGGCAGCCTGCAGATTATGGTACAACCAGTAACACACCCTCTGATGACCTTAATCTTACTCAGGTCTGTATTGAGGAAAGCGATTTGCCATGTAACCTGGCCCCGGGGAGTTCAGTGCTTTAAAGCTGAGGATGTATAACAGTGACATAGATCGTCACACCATTGGTCCTTTCCTTTAGTAACAACATGAATGACTGTGCCCAGCTTCTGAGATGGGGCATAACTCTGTAGTACAGCACGTATTTTGCATGTAGAAGGTTCCAGGCTTGATTCCTGGCATCTCCAGGAAGGGCACAAAATTTTTAACTCTGAAAGCAGTCGGAGCATGAGTCTGAGTCAGGAAAAAGTAACTTTCTAGATTCTCGTTCTTTTCTAGGACAAAATATAGTTCGGAAACAAGCTGATCTGATAAAAAGTATGGTAGTCCCAGCTACTACCTGGCCATCCAGATGCAGAAATACATAGAAGAGCTCCTTTGAGCTATCAACTTGTGCCCTGGGTTTGAGTTTATCCAGCACATGGTCATAACCTAACTTTGTTTCCTTTCTCTGTTATCTATTTGGGGGTTTTGTGCTTGCTGTTTCTATCAAGCAGGAAAACCCTGAGTGTATAAGATAAGGCAATTGGATTACTGATATCATATTAATCGTAGAGGTGGGAGAGGCTAGGAAGAAATGAAAGGAAGCACCAAAACCTAATGGGCTAGAATCCTTATGAGACCCATGAGCTCAGTGGGTGTTGTTGTAGTTGAAAAGCAAAGCCAGTTCATGTGGCTCCATTCATTTTGACAGCCAGATGGAACCGAGAGTAGCATCTGGTGAATGGATTGAGCAGGCCCTGGAACATACTGTGAATGTTGACCTAATTATTACTAAGTCCCCAAGCAAAAGCAGCTGGAGGGTGTTGGTTCTTCTATAATGTGAAAGTGGGAGTGTAAGTCCCAGGATATAAGCAAGGCAGGGGAGATTTAGGACTATTGTTTAGACCTGGAACTCTGGTTTATATTAAGAAAAATAAATGAGAGCTTGCCTTTTACACTGCATGTATTCCCGTTACTTCTCTCTGATTAGTGTGTGTTATATATATATAGTGTTTGCTTTGATAGTTGTATAAAACATTTATTATAATGTTATTTGTATCTGCCTCATCACGAACAACTGTAGTTTAGCTTTTGAGTGAATGGCTACATCTGGGAAAGAGAGTACTCCTGGATTATGGGGCAAATTTTAGTGATGCAGAAGTCATAGGCAAAGTGCTTGAGGGAGTAGATTCCATGATTTCTCATGCCTTGCTCTGCTGTTCCTGTTCCTTGTGACTGCAGCTAGGGGAAGGGGGTTGACCAGCAGAATCCAGAAGGCAATAAATATACCTGGTTAATAAAGTACAAAAATAAACATACCTGTTATGCAACTTGTACATACAGAGCTTTGCCTATTTTTAGTCTGGTCTTTTAACAGGGGTGTAGATGTAAATTGGGCTTGGCTCCTCAAAAGAAGAACACTGATATTTAAACTCAGTGTGCTGTTCCTGGGGTATTACACTGGCCAGCAGTATGGAAGATGACTGTAGTTCATTGCTTAGGTCTCAGTGTGATAAACATTTTTCTTTAAATTTGTTATGAATAGGCATGACATTAAGAAGAATCCAGCTTGTACCTGCCCTGCCCTGTACCTGAACGTCTCCTAGATCGGTGCAAATCAGTGTCTCATGGCAGTCAGGCTTCATTTTTTGTTTTAGTTCATTTCTGGCATACTGTTTAAGCCTTAGTCAGTGCTGCTGTTTATGCCTGAGTTGATGGGCTGAATAAAACCTGCTGCATACACCCAACCAAAACCACCTATGTCCTTTCTGCATATAAAAGCTG